TGTGCGTGTGGTCAGTACACAACTGTTGGTGTCAGTACTGATGGAGCGTTCCGTGGTGGTTTTAGCCGTTGAGGGACGAGGTTTTTAGCTCTTCCTCTTCGCTGCTAGGCTTCCTGGTCTCCCACACCGGTGGCAACGCTGGCAAGTTTTCATAGTCCAGCAGGGCAGTGCGCCGCTGAGCTGAGTTGTTAACATTCTGCAGGTCGGGTGTGAGAGGGGGAGGACGATGTCGACGAGGAGCTGAGCTGTTGGAGTGCAGGGGAGCGGATTCAGGTTTGGCCTCGGCATGGCCGTTAGTCTCTGCTGGCTCTGTGTCCTTCTGCTCTCGCTGGCGTTTCTCCATCAGTTGCCTTTGGACCGGGGTGGGTCCGAGCACAAAACGAACACCTTGAGGCTCCATCAAGACCTGTGCCTCTGGCAGAGGCGGCGGGGCTGGCGGCTCACCCCGATGCCTGGGGGGTGGAGAGGGTGTCGGTGGAGCCAGTGACTGTGCGGAGGTGGGGCTTTCCAGAGGGGTTGTGACAGTCAGGGGACTGCTCTGGTCCTCGAGAAGACCCGTGGTGTTGACATAAGTGTGGACCTGAAAACAGAGACAAAATGTAACCAAAATTAAACATGAATCAGATCGGGATCAACCACGGACCAGGATTCAAAGTACACCATGGTGTAGTGTCACTACTCTGAGAAGTTAGTCAAATCAAAACTATATATATATTTAGCGTAAAAATGTACCGTTTCCTCAGTAACGAGCAAGGGGTGCGTCGATTCCTCCCCCATTGACGGCAGACGGGTGCTGCCAACCGATGGGTGACGAGTCGATGGATGAGACGGGGGTTCACTCACTGACGGAATCCGAGTGTCACCATTAGGAACTGTTGGAACAGAGTAACCCTGAGCTGGAAACGCACACACAGAGCCAATCAGAATCCATCAGATTTACCACGACAAACTAAAACAGGCTGAAGATGATTAGTTGACCTTGACTTAGAATTGTATACTTTTAGTGAAATGATGTTGTATTGTGTTGTTGAGAAGAGATGAGTGTGGATTTCATTGGGCCACAGATGAAATGTTCTTTTCCAATGATGTGAAGTTTCTCTGAATTATTTTATTAACAAACAAAAGAAAATGTTCTGTTGCATTAAGAATGCAATCATCGTAGGTTACAGTCACCGTTGGCATCATCGCGATGGTAATCGTTACATCGTGTTGTTGCCGTTATGATTGTCCTGACTGTCATTGTCGTCGCCGTCAACTACAATCACCTTCGTCGTAATAGTTTTCATTGTTATCATTGTCAAAGTATCTTTGTTCATCTTATATACCTGCAGAAGTCTGTGCCCCCTGCTGGCTGGGCTCCATCACTGCCTCCTCCACCACACTGATGCTGTGACTGTGCATCACTTCCTGCAGCATGTTGAAGATTTCCTCCGCACGGGAGCATTTGAAGGCAAAGATCCCTGCGAAACACACACACGCACACAGGGAGAACAGAAGAGATGTGACTGACAGCTGGATCATCCAATAGGACACAAGAGATTCATACATAATCCAAGGTGTGTTTTTTTGTTTTGTGTGAATGTGTGTGTGTGTTCTCACCTTGTCCAGTCTGACACCGCCGTCCACTCTCAAATGAAAACAGGTTTGAGTCATAACCATAGCGACGCAGACACAGGTATGGCCACCTGACGTCGTCACGGCGATGAGTGTGAAGAACCAGCTCAGAGTCGGTGAGTTCCATCACACCAGAGCCCAACTCGTTCCCATCATCGTCGACATTAACCACCTGTGTGGAACAGAAACACACACACACACACAATGACAGTTAGACTCAGCCTTTAAACCTGCTGGAGGGGGGGGGGTGAGTGGGTGAAGCTCACCTTGAATTTACTCTGATGATTTTCTGGAATGGACTCTTTGTCTGGACAGCTTAAACAGCTACCCATGATTCCTCACTGCACCACCTGACATCTACAACAAACCACAACATGACAAGGTCAAAACCTTCAGGAATTAACGTCAAAGGTAAACAAAAGGCCAGCGTGTGGCGCTGGCAGTACTCACCTAGTTCCTAGCTTCAGTGGTTCTGGTTCCATCCTCAGAACCGGACAGAAGCTCATGCTGCAAATCCTCAGTCAACATCAACGTCAACATCAACGTCAATGTTCACAGCAACGTCAACAGGTCTGGAAACAAATGAACAATCTCATTAGTTTAATGATTGCATCTCACTGACTCACTCCTCCCTCCCCCTTCACCAGACTCAGGTTTTGACTGGTGATGACCAACATTAACTTTTTGCCGATATTGTTTGAACACTTCCGATTAAAATATCAACTGATACCGATATAGGCCTCGTAATATTTATCTTTTTATCTGTACCACTGTATGAGTTCCTGGCACCAGCATTCTACATACAATCCTCTGATTATTAAAATAGATTAATAAAATGAGCTGCTCTGCTGCCATCTAGTGATTTTCACTTTCATATAGAGTCATTTTCCCCGAAAACTATTTTTGGGTCACACATCATTTGGTGAACCCTAGGCATTTTGTTATCGAGTTTTCATTATCGGAATTATTTTTTTAAAGATATTGCATAATTGTGCTAATATAAGGCTTATATTATCGGTTGGCCTGATATTATCGGACATCTCTAGTTTTGACAAATGTTTTGAACTGAACATTCATGGGGCGTAGACATGTTTTAAAAAGAAAAACAGGCACAGGGCCGACATCATATCCAATAAAGCAGGCACAGGGTCGACATCATATCCAATAAAGTTGTTAACCATGCCACAAAGCAGGGAGATTGACCCACAGGCTGGTCAGGGAAATGTTTAACCAGGTGGATTTGTCAAACATGGAAGCCAGAGTTAGCACAAAAACCTGAGGGTTCCAGGATTTAGTCTTAAAACAGTTTATAACAGGCTCCATCCACGTATACTACACCGTCTACAGTAGGTCATCATCGAGGTCATAACTCAGTCTTCAAGTCCACTCTGGAAGAACTGGATCTGAGGTAGCCATGTTTAGTTTTTAAACTGTCAAAACTGAAACAATTTCCAGACTAGATTTAAAAAAGGATGAAGGTCAAGGTAGTCTGAGGGTTCTTTTTACTGTCATGGCAGTGGATGATGGAAAAGAAAGACATTGAAATGCATCAGCAATATGCTGAAGAAGCTCCTCCATCATTCTCTCCATCATCAGACTGAAGCATCACCTCCTCGTTAATGATGTCATGGTGACCAACCGTCCACACACACATCTCCAGACCCTCTCTTTCGCATTGTTTCTCCAGACTTATGTTTATTTTTACTGGAATTCCTGGCGTCAGCATTGTGGGAGAACATCAGTTAACAAACTAACGATAAAAAGTTCGTAAAACAAATACAATCCTGCTGTTGGGTTGTTGTACCATCACCTTAAACACTGCTGCAATGTGTCTGTTGAAAAGTGTGTGTAACTATATGTGTAACTGTGTGTATTGGCTGTTAGCTTCATGCTAAGCTAACCCTGAGAACTAACAGCGGCCTCTGCTCCGTCACTTCTCTCTATAAACAGTCTACAAACTTTCTTACCTGTATAGTTCGGTTCTGCCCTGTGCGTTCAACCTCGCCTGAACTCGGGTTCGGTTCTGCGGCAACTGTTCTTTGTCCGGGTCGCCGTCAGCAGCTACACCCGCAGATCCTCCATCTTTCCGCCAAAAAAAACAATCACAACTTCTCACGGATCTCTTTAACGGGCTTTACAGAAGCGATCGGAACTCGGGCCGCGAATCATGTCCGTCCTCATACACCGACCTTCACTGTAGGACTCTCGGTTCCGTCCAATCGCGTTTGTTTGTGGGGAAAAAATAACTTTGAAGCGCTGCTGTTCTGTTAGCCCGAGAGGCTAATGATCGAAGCTAAACTTCCGACACTTTCAATGTGGTGAAACCGAGGTGGTCTGCGCACGCGTTGAAAGCGCAAGGGAGCGAGAAAGAGAGAGGGAGAGGGAGAGGGAGAAAGGGAAGGGGGGAGGACAGGGGCACGCAGCAGAGTAAACACTCTCTGTCCCAATTTCCCATCCCAAACCCCGTAAAGAAAAACGTTGATTTAGGTTCTGATCTAACAATTACGTTAACAATTTGGGAAAAAAATATAAAAAAAATCACGAATTCCAGCAGGCAGTAAAACGCACACATTGTTCCATACAACACACACAAGAAGCAATGGTTTTAAATCAGTGAGGATCAACACGGCACGAACCAAATTGTAAGACTGTGAACGTGAAATTGTTTGTTCAGATTTCAGACCACAGGAGGCAGCAATGAGACGATGACTCCTGGGTCTGATTTTCACAGTCTAAGACAGTACTTCTCAAATAGTGGGGCGGGTCCCCCTGGAGGGGCGCGGTGAGGTGCCAGGTGGTCGTGAGGGGCTTCCAATGGAATATGGACATAAGTGTACCACTGCTGATTGCCTGAATGATAACAAGAGTCAGTCACTAGGTGGCAGCAACTCATACAGTGTTTTGTACAGATAAAATCATACATGTTATCAGGTTCTCAATAGTATTTCAATTCGGGGGGAGGAGGGGGGGTTGATGGGGCATGACAGAAAATACTTGAGAACCACTGGTCTAATGTAAGATGGATTTTATTCTTTGACAAAGCAGCTGAAAGTGTCTGATGTTTTCTGACAGCCTGAACCTACGCTCCTAATCCTAGTTCTGCTGCAGGGGGCGCTCACAGGAGAGTCAGTCCTTACAAAAATAACACCAGACATAGATACATAGATATTGTACTAATTTATTTCCTTTAAAACTCTGTATTTACACATGTACAGTGAAGACAAAAGGTTATAAATAATGATCATTGATTATTAGTTATTGATTAGGAGCGTCCGTAGATAATAAAGTCTCAGTGCCGGGAGTTCAGCGACTCTGGAAACAGAAGTCTCTGATCAGTGATCAATAGATGTGAACAAGAACTGATCAGTTGTGAGCTGTCGACATCACCGATTATTGATTAATGTTTCTGATCAGTAATGTATTGATCAGTGATGGACTCACCTCTGTGGCTGCTGACCCTCAGGTTCTCGTAGATGATGTTCTCATGTTCACTGCCAAGTTTTCTGGCCCGGAGAACGTCTCGAACACACTGATGCAAGAAGACGTATTGACGCTGACACACACACACACACACACACACACTTTTATCAATAAGGTTATTGATGACATTGATGTTAATCCTGAAGATGGAGTGTGTGTTTGAGTGTGTGTTTGAGTGTGTGTGTGTCTGTGCGATACCTCCGTTTGAACCATGTGTGATCGGTGGAGTCTTAGGTCAAACACGGAACCATAAATGTCCACTGTGTCTCTGGAGTCCAACTGCTGCAAAACCCGATCCAGAACAATGAAGGTCCCAGTTCGACCCACACCAGCGCTAACACACACACACACACACACACACACACAACAGGTGATGTGGAGGCAGATGGAATGTTCTGGTATGTCCTTCTGGGTTTTGCTGGTTGTGTACCTGCAGTGGACCACTGTGGGTCCAGATCCTGGACTTCTGTTCACATAATCTCTGACTGTTCGCACAAACTGGATCAGGGAGTGAGTCGTTTCTGGAACACCGTGATCCGGCCAAACAGTGTAGTGGAAGAGACGCACAAGGCGACTGAGGTTCAGCTGGTCCTCCTGAAACGCACATGGTTCTTAATGATCTGTTGTGTCTTAAATGCACCAATCTGGGTCCAGATCTGGGTTCAGATGTCGCCCACATACTGAAACGCCTGGGTTTCACCAAATATCCTGGGATTGCTTGTAGGGTCCTGAGACGTGTACCTTAGTGAATGTCTGCATATATCTCATGTCATCAGACATCTCTAGTCTTACAGTGTCAGGTATCAGACATCTCTAGTCTTACAGTGTCAGCAGTCAAAAAGAGCTAACGGTGACCCCTACCCACCAGGGTTAGGTACTGCAACAAGTTTGAACAAATGTATAATATGGTTATTAGTTCACAGAAAGTTGAGATGACGTACAATGTGTTTGGACACTGATGAAGATGATGATTATGATGAAGATGATGATTATTATAATGAGGAAACAGGTGATGATGAAGGTGAAATAAAGGCATAGAAAGTAACGTACATCACAGATGTTGAATTCTCGTATCGTCCACTCAGGGAGAACTGACTCAGATGTCATCCTGACAATCAGATCTCCGTAGTAAAGTGGATCCTGGTCAAACGGCCAATAGTGATCACACTTTACCTGCAGGGGGCAGCAGAGCATAAACATTATTTTTTTGCATATCACCTTACAGAGGACCTCTCAGCCCTGAGATTCCTGAAGGTTCTGCCTTCCACCCTGTGACGTAATGGTCCCTTTCTTTTTGGTACACAGACAGGACAGTGATTTTTCCCAGAAGGCCTTTCCGCTCACTTACCCGTCCTTTTTCTACACACTGTGTGACCATCACGATGTTGTGAACATTCTGCTCCCAGACCATTTTCCAGAAATCGTCCTTGGTGCCAGGCAAAGGTCCCTGAGTGGCAATGTACTCCCGACGGAAGTTGTTGCCCTGAAAGAGGGCAGATTTGAACTGCTTGAAACTGAGGTCCCGAAACGTGAGACTCCTAACAATTGATCACAAAATGATGATGTCATAGTGGCTCTCACAGGGATGTAGCTAGCATTGATGTAGTCAGAGCAGGGGTCGTCGTCTACATAGGAAAGCTTCACCCTCGTGGAGTCATCTAAGAGACAAGTACGATTAATGGAGATGCTAAGATGCATTTTATTCTCTGGGGGGACAATTTGGAGGGACGAGAGGGGGAGTGGCAGAGACGCTTACAGGGCAGAATGTTGTTGTATCGGTTTTTCCCACGATTCTCTGGCAGCAGAGCCGTGTCCATGGATTGGTTACGTCCCACGTCCTTCAGGCGCTGTTGGTATAAAAACCAGCAGAGCAGAATTAGGTTCAGGACTCAAGACACTTTACCCAGCAGTCCTTGTGGGGGACTCACCTCATACTCCTCTGACAGCAAAAAGTTTGAGTCAGCCTGAAGTTTGACGAAGTGGGATTCAAAGGTTGTGATCCTGATGGGACTAAAGGACATGGAAGACATGGTGAGTGACAGAAGGTCCAAAGAAGAAAGACGATTGAATTGGAATTGAATTGATGTTCTTACCTGGAGATGGAGCGGTGCCTGTGAGGTCGGGGCAGAAAAATGAGTGACCGAGTTTTTACTTTTCAATATATGTATATAAATAAAAACGTCAGACGGTTTTTATCCTCACCCTCTGATCCCAAGATGAACTGATGACATCACTCTGTCTGTCCTCGTGCTCAAGCCGAGGTCTGGCCCCTCCTCCACCCTACAACACCAATCACGAGTAAATAAACACTTTGGTAACAGGTAGGAAAGCCTAATTAAACATTAATTACATGTTCATACTGAACCGTTACTGATGATTTAGTAACTTACTTAAAATACACAGTGTTAACACATTACTACTAATAACATTAACAAAATAATTATTGACTACAATAAAAAAAATGTGTGTTTGTGTCTTGTAACTCACACTTTGTGTCTCTTGTATCTACACACAAGTGCTGCAACGACTCCGCCCAAAACAATGACAAGAAAAAGAGCGGCAGTGACTCCGCCCTCCATGACTCCACCCACAGGATCTGCCACACAGACACACACCGTCTCTATGTTTTGTTCCTCCAAGTCCGTGCAGACATGTGTATTTACTTTTTCTTGTAAGTCCGTGCAGACATGTGTATTTACTTGTGCGTCTTTCTCTCACCAGCATCAGTGTAAACAGGAAGTGACAGAAACGTGTCGGTGTAAAGAGCAGAAACGGGGGGAGCGCTGTCGTCGTCACTAAACAGCTGTGTGAAAGCACGAATGCTCAGTCTGTGGAAAAAGACACAACACGTTAACAACATTTTACCGACGCACGTATGAAACGTAGAGGAAAAAAACACCATCGCCGCCACCTGTAGGCCGTCTTTGGTTTCAGAGGACCGTCACAAAACTGGTTTCTGCTGATCTCGGGATCACAAGCACCCCCTAGTGACTGCGTTTGTGCCCCCACAGTGATGTCGAGGGTTTGGGTGGTGTCATCTTCCTGAGTGCATTGACTGGGAAAGAACCTGGTCTGGTAGTGAGTGACTGAGCTGTTGGCGCTGTACTCCATGTACGACGGTAGGGGGTGCTGCTGAGCTGGGTGGTTGTCGTTAACACCTGGCAAGAAGAAGAACCCACTGAAGCGCCATCCTAATGAACCAGTCAGGGTTTGTGCTGAGGGTAAGAGCATTATTACCCTGTGACTCCAGTACGATGACCGCAAACCACTTGATGACTCCGTTTACGTCGCTGAACCAGCTGCAGTTGAAGCTGAAGGTGATGGAGGATGTCGATACCTTGGCAACAGTCTGACTCACCCTGGTGGTGAGGGGTGGAGATGGAGGACCTGTGGGCATTGTCATGTTTTAGAGAATGGCATGTGCAGTGATGTCATCGGTTATTCTATGTGACTCACGATCAATCATGGTGACGGTGTCATCCCTGGCCTCCTCGCTGGTTGTCTGCTCCGACATCACCTTCACTGAAACGCTGTACCGCTTGTGTGGCTCAAGATGAGTGATGATGTAAGAGCTGGTGTTCTGTCCAGTACGTTGCGAGTAGACCATAGTCCTGGTCTCCTGACGGAGACACTCCACAATGTAGGAGTCAAAATCAGCCAGCGGAGGCATCCAGGAGCAGGCGATGGAGGTGGAGCTGTGAGGACGACAGCGGAAACCGTGGACGGGATCTGGTTCTGTAACGGCAAGACACACTGAAGTTTAATAGTTTAATGCCGCGGCGACAGACTAGTCAGATGTCTCTGGACAATATCGGAAATCAGCAAAAAGTTCATATTGGACAGTCCTAGTTTTTAAGTGTTTTGATTTTCATGCTTTTTTCACCTACTGGTACGGATGCTGTTGAGAACAGCAGTGCTGTAAGTGGACTCCGTCCCAGGCTCACTGGCACCGCTAACGGTGCGCAGGCTGAAGGTGTACAGTCTCCCGGGGAACAGCCCCTTCAGAAGGCGGTTGCTGGACGTGCGGCTGTGGTAAGGGTTGATGACGGTCAGTTGATCTGCAGGCGTCCAGTGCAGGTCAAAATCATCGAAATCTGAATGAGCAGGGACATTCCAGGTCATCTCTGCTGAGGTGTTGGTAACTCCCCCAAACAGGACAGAGGTGGGCGGTTTTGGAGCTAGGGGCAAAAAAGAAAAAGGTCATTCAGGTCATTATATGGGTCAGTGAAGGCGGTCAGTGATGACGGTCAGTAACTTCAGGCGGTCTCACCGGTTCTGCCAACAGCCTCTGCTTTATTTTGCAGTTTTCCACTCAGACTCAGAACCTCAGCTCGGTACAGTCGCCCAGGAACCAGACCAGAGAAGGTGAACTCGTTGACCTCTGACCCCAATTGCTTTTGCGCGTGACGCTCACCGCCATGGTTGTACAGAGACAACACGTACCCACTGACCACACCCACGCTGTCATCCCACTTCACTCTCAGAACACTTGACTGGTTTGCTGCCAGAACCCTGAGAGACTGTACAGCCGCTGGGACTGTGGGTCAGACATCAATAATCAATCATTATTACAGATGAACAACAGCTGATGACCAGAAATGAGGCTTCAATAGCTGAGTTTACCGGTTCTGGCCCACATGCTGGTCTGATTGTTCTGCTGTCCACTGTGGGTCAAAACCACAATTTTATATGTGGCTCCAGGTGTGAGTCGTTGAAAGGTGCATTGTAGAGCGTTGGCCTGAAGATGGCGTCGCTCCTGCAGTGATTCATCACTACGATACAGGACCACTTCATAAGAGTCCAAGTCTCCCTCTGCAGGGGACCAGAGGAAGGACAGGCTGCTGCTGCTGTTGCTCCTAATGGACAAGTCTGAGACTGCAGCTGGACCTGAAGGGGGAAGTTGTCGGTTCAACTGCTCACATTTATACATTGTATTTTGTTTTGATTCATTCAGTACAAATGAGTTTAAACAGCAAATCTTACTTGTGCGAGCATCTGCACCGACTCCTGTGTTGACCACACCCCAGCTCGTGGTCTGGACCAGGACTCTGTATCGTCTTCCTGCTGTAAGGTTCTGAAACTGGTAGCTGCGGTGTCCAGTGGACAGGGAGGCATTTGTCACATGACCACCTCTGTCCTCCAGTATCTGCAGGATGTAACCATTGGCCACACCCACTGCTTCCTGCCAGCTCACCTTAAGGCAGCAGGTGGTGCCAAGGTTTTCCACCAAGAGAGCAGTCACTGGGGCAGGGACTGAAATATGGACACAAGTCAACAAAACCATCAAATGTAAGACTTGTCAGATCAGGCCCAGGTTTATAACCCACGAGCCCCACCCCCCCAGACTCCCACTTGAAGTCCAAATAATGTCCAACTAAAGAAGTGTGGAGAGTTCTCACCCGTCCTTCCAGAGACTGTGTTGTTGTTCATCAGTTCACCGCTCACTGAAGTCACTGTCACCTGGTACATTTGTCCAGGCTGCAGGGACCCAAACATCACCTGGTTCTGGTCTTTAGGAACTTGTCGAATGTCCAGCTGTCGGCTGCCTCGATACAGAGAGACCCAAAATTCATCCACGTCACCCTCTCCGGGCGTCCAGGTCACCCTAAGACTGTCTTCACCTCGGCTCAGGTGGATGTTTTTAACCCTGCTGGGAACTGTAAAACACAGGAAACATATGTGGCTTTGGGCGTAGGTTTGGTTCCCTGAATAAGGCTGGGAACTGTAAAACACAAGCAAAAAGTTCAGGTTAAGGTTTCACGACCCAGTGTGTCCTAACCTGTGCGCCCCTCAATGAACTGAGCCCTCTGGTTGGGGCCACTGAAGGTGGAGACCACTATTTTGTAAAGACGTCCTGGGGTCAGTGAGGACAGGATGTACGTGTCCACACTACTGCCTATTGTGACCGGTGGAAACACCTTCATATCGTTGAAGAGAAGCTGAACTTCATAGTGGTCCACGTCACCTGGAGCTGGAGACCATGTGACCTTCAGGTCTTCTGTGCCACGTTCAGTCAGTGCCAGAAGTCTGACAGCTGCTGGGACTAAAAGAGATGGTTATTTCACCAATGATGTCATCCGAGTTAACGTACTACGCTCCATCACTCTGGAGTAAACCAATCATGTATGAGATGTAAAAACATTGTTACGACATACATGTCCTGCCGTGCGTCGAAGCACTGGCCTCGTATTTGCCGCTGTACGTGTTCACAAGAATGGTATACAGTCGCCCAGGAACCAGGCCGTGGAACACGCAATCACTCTGTGCTTTTTCCACTGTTAGGTTCTGCAAGAAAATGTTGTTGTGTTTGATGAAAACTCTGTACTGGTCCACGTCCCCGGACGCGTGATGCCAGTGAACCTTTAGGTAGTCATCTCGGGCGGCGTGGGTTGCTGTGGGGTTCTGGACCTTGGATGGCTCTGAGTGAGAGAAGTGTGTGGTCACATGGATAACAAAACAAAGGTGGGAAAAAGTTGATGGTTATCTGGGCACTCACGTGTACGCCCCAAGATAAAGGTATGGTTTTGGTAGACGCCACTGCGAGCAGCGATGGAGATGTTGTAGAGGCGTCCGGACACCAACGAGTTAAACACACACTCAGAACTGGACTTGGAAACCACCAGGGTGTGAACTACGGCCTCGTGGTTTCGCAGTGTTACCACATAACCATCCACCTCCCCTGGAGATGGACGCCAGGACACGCTGAGGAAATCCACACGCCCATTATTACTGACCGTGACCTCGCTGACAGCGGCAGGGACTGTAGGAGGAGCCAAAGACTAATTAGCATTGAGCTAATTAAGACTGAAGCAGAAATTGATCAGGATCAAATTTTAATCATCAATATTTTTTTAGAAACAACAACAACAACAAAAGAGAATGTTAAAAAAGGGAAATATAATTTAATGTGTTTTCAGGGGTGTGACTAACTGGAACTGAGCCTCTGACAGGAAGTCAGGAAGACTCTGACAGGAAGTCAGGAAAACTCTGACAGGAAACCTGGAAGTCTGACAACTTTTTATTGTTGCTAGGAGTTCCTGACAAATTCCTTTTTCCCAGTACAACACACACACACACACTTTAAACAGAACCTGATCTCTGATTGAACCAGATTTAATTAATGTCTAATCCTTGACCCAAACCTTCACCTTCTCATCCTGGCTTTTAGTTCAGGACATTTCTGAAAACAGAGCCAGTTTTCAGTAATAAACAACAGTCTGGGATCTCTGACTCAACTCATTTACTCGGAATTTGCAACAGTTTAAAGGTTGAGTCAAAACCATGTAGCATGAAACACTAGATTTCATAGACTCATATCAAGCAGTATGGTGTTCAGCTAGATTTCATACACTCATATCAAGCAGTATGGTGTTACCTGTGCGTCCCTCGGCCACCGTTTGTCTGGAGGCGTGTCCTGCGCTAATGCTAGTCAGGACCATCTTGTACAAGGCTCCTGGTCTCAGGGACTGGAAGTTGATGGTGGTATCGTTGGCTTTTAAGCTCACATTCTTGATGATGGTGCTGTCGTGAACCAGAAGCACCTGATACGAGTCCACATCTCCTGCAACCCGTTCCCACTTCCCCTGAAGAGTGTCCACCGTACCCAGGTTGGACACAAGCAGCCTGGAGACCTGACCAGGAGCTAGGAGGATGGGACAAGGAGAGCAGGGGACCTGAACATTTTGTAGCTAAGACATTAGCTGGTACCAAGTGAGCTTGTTTCAGTGAGTGGTCGTCTATACCTGTCCGTGCTGTCACGGAGACCCAGTTGCTGAGGTTCCCACTCTTGGTCACCACAGTGATATTGTAACTGCGTCCTGGGGTCAAGAGGTTAAAGTTGCACTCTCTGGACTCCCAAGGCAGGATCCTCTGAGCCACTGTGGTGGCAGACTCTGCCCCCCTGAGCACCACGGTGAAACCATCCCACAGACCTACTGGTGGACGCCACACAATGCTCAGGGTTGTGTCATCAGAGCGAAGCACCAGCAGCTGCTGCACGGGCCGCGGCGCTGCAGACGAAACAACAACAAAATATTACATTAGATCTGCTTATGAGAAAAGATGCAACAATATTACTCTAGATCTGCTTATGAGAAAAGATGCAACTTAGAGAACATCGGTGTTCACTGACCCAGTCCACCGTCACAGACTGCTGTGTTACCCAGAATACCACTGTGGACCGTGACCTCTGCCCTGTAAAGCCTCCCAGGCACCAGACCCAGGGTAAGTGCTGAGAATGTGACCTGACGGATCAGTTTTCCTGCCGTCTCGTTTACCAGAACTACCGATCCATTCTTCAGTAGGATGCTGTACTTCTCCCAGTCACCAGGGGGTGGAGTCCAACTGAGTTTCAGTGTCTTGTCATCACCACCAGGGGACAATGACAGAAAAGTCACCGTAGCAGGAACTGAAAAGACACAGAATCAACTAAATAAATAACAGGATAACATACCCAGACTGGGGAACTGGTCCTTGTTCTGTCCCTGCCAGGCGATCCTTACCTGTCCTTCCTTGGGTCTTGACCTCTGCACTCTGACCTCCAGCCCTAGTCCTCACTGACAGTTCGTAGGAACGCCCGGGGGTAAGACCCTCAAACACGACCCAGGTGCTGTTTGATAGCAGTTGGTGCTGCGACAGGGTCAAACCTGAAGATGCAAGACTCGCTAGGAGATAATCTGCCTCCCCTTCAGGTGGATCCCAAGACGCCAACAGATGGTCCGAGGTGCCATTGTTGTCCAGTTTCACGTGTGTGACCGCTGCAGGTTCTAATGAAAAATTAAAAACAAGATTAGATTAAAGTACACAGGTTTATTTTAGATACAATCTGATCAGATATTTTGGGAAATGGTACCTGTGAAGGCTTGTGCGGAGGCGGACCTTCTCAGACCCACAGACTCAGTGACGACAGTGACTGAGTATCTGGTCCCTGGTCGCAGGGCCTTCAACTCAACCCATGTGGTTGTATCAGTTAGGCTGATGTTCCTCAACAGAACACCGTCAGGATCTCTAAGCAGAACTTTGATGGATTCGGTTCGACCCACACCCACCAGCCATGACACTGTAAGGCTGTGTGGAGATGAGGACGCCACCTGGAGGCCATGTACAGAGGAGGGCGCTACAGGAGCAGAAATAAAAACGTTTTATTTTTGTGTTATTTACGGTGGACTCTGCTGCAGTGACAAAGAACGTGTTAAGGTCTGAAGGTTCAACTCCAGGAACATGACTCAGACCTGTGGCTGTGGTGGCAGAGACCGCCGGGGCACTCCTGCTGCCAGCAGTGGCAACCACACTGACGGTATACAGAGAACCAGGAACCAGGGAACTGAACCGACAACTTGAAACCTCTGTATCCTGTATTCGGACAGTCTGGGTCCACCCTGAGATGATGTCCTCTAGAGTCACGTTGTACCAGTCTACATGACCCCCTGACCGAGACCAGAAAACCGTTAAACCGGGGGAATGGTACTGATCATCGGGCTGATCCAGCAGGACCTCCAGGTGAGTTGGACTGACTGGTTCTACAGAGGAGGATTAAGAGGAAAAAGTCCCAGAGTTAGCACCTGATTTGGGGGTTTTGCCGGTTTATAAAACCAAATGTGATGCTTGTGTGTGTGTGTATGACATCATCTCACCCGTCTGCACTGACACCCTCTGCCCACCTCCATCTCTTGTAGAAAGTACCGTGAATTCGTACCAAGTCCCAGGTTTCAGACCATCAGCCTGGCACAGATACTGATTCTGGTTCTGACCTGCTCCATCTGGGTCACACTTGCTAACGTTAGTCTTCGATTCATGTTCGACTTTTAAAGCCAGGTCACATGACTCAGTGCCAGTAGTGACCGTCAGCGTCACTGCGTCAGACCCAGACATGACTCCAGTTATGTTCAGCACACAGGGGGGTTCTGGGAGTTCCTGAAACAGTTATATTTAGGTGGAGTCAGTTCATCTGCTCAGACACTACAACCATCTACCAACCAGACTGACCTCAGAGGTACTTACTGTTGTAGTCCAGGTCTCTGGTGCAGCAGCAGCAGGAGCGATGGTGGCTTTGGAGGTTCTTGTCATAGATGGTCTACTGGGGTCTCTGGTGGAGGTGTGAACCCGTGAGTTACGAGCAGAATCGGTGGAAGTGAGAGGAGCTACTGTTGCTACGATTGGAGATGGGCTGGATGAAGGAGTCCGTGGGACCTCAGGACCATCAAGGATCGCAGGGGTGGTGGGTGAGGCAATGGGCGGGGCTTCATTCTCTATGATCACAGGAGTTGTGGGTGAGGCAATGGGCGTGGTTTTAGCATCGAGGATTACAGGTGTGGTGGGTGAGGCAAAGGGTGGGGCTTCACTCTCTATGATGACAGATGTGGTGGGTGAGACAATGGACGGGTCTTCATCATCAAGGATTACAGATGTGGTGGTTGAAGCACTGGGCGGGGCTCCTGTCTCAGTGATTACAGGTGTGGTGGGTGAGGTGGTAGGCGGGGCTCTAGTCTCCATGCTCTCAGATGTGTTGGGCGAGGCAGTGGGTGGAGAATCTACCTCCACATTTACAGGTGTGGAGGGTGAGCCAGTGGGTAGAGCATCTGTCTTCAGTATCGTGGATGTGTTGGGTGGAGGAGTGGTCCAAAGTTCTGTCTTCGTGAGTGTTGCTGTGGAGTGCAGAAAAATGGGCGGGGTCTCATTTTCCACGAACATAGATGTGGTGAGTGGATCCACAGGCGTAGCTTCCATCTCTTTGATGGATGTGACGGCCGTAGCAGAGGATGAATCTTCAGTCCCTGTGATGGAGAATGTGTCAGTGGGCGGAGCTTCGGTCTTTAGTGTCATAGACGTGTTGGGCGAAACACTAGGCCCAGCTTCCGTCTCTACGATCACAGGTGTGGTATCCAGATGAGTGGGCGGAGCTTCTGTCTTATAATACATAGATGAGGAGGGCAGGTGGGGTCGAGACCTTGTCTCTTCAATTTCTGGTGCGGTTTGTGGGGCAGTGGGTGGAGCGTCTGTCTCTATGTTCACTGACGTGGTTGGTCGATAAGTGGCTGTTTTGATGTTTTTTGTAAGGGAAGATTGAAAACTGGGCAGGGCTTCTGACTCTGTGAACATAGGTGTGGTAGATGGACCGGTGGGTGGAGCTTCTGACTCTGTGATTATTGGTCTGGTGGGCAGATCAGTGGGTGGAGCTTCTGTCTCTACGATCACAGGTATGGTAGATGGACCGGTGGGGGGGGGTCCCGAATCTACGGTCACAGGGATGGGAGATGGGGCGGGGGTAGATGGACCGGTGGGTGGAGCTCCTGACTCTACGATCACAAGTATGGTAGATGGATCGGTGGGTGGAGCTCCCGACTCTACGATCACAGGTATGGTAGATGGACCGGTGGGTGGAGCTCCTGACTCTACGATCACAGGTATGGTAGATGGACCGGTGGGTGGAGCTCCTGACTCTACGATCACAAGTATGGTAGATGGATCGGTGGGTGGAGCTCCCGACTCTACGATCACAGGTATGGTAGATGGACCGGTGGGTGGAGCTCCTGACTCTACGATCACAGGTATGGTAGATGGACCGGTGGGTGGAGCTCCTGACTCTACGATCACATGTGTGATAGATGGACCGGTAGGTGGAGCTTTTGTCTCTTTGTACAAACGTGTGGTAGAACGATTGGTGGGTGGAGCTCCTGACTCTACGATCACAGGTGTGGTAGAAGGATCACTGGGTGGAGCTCCTGACTCTACGATCACAGGTATGGTAGAAGACTGGGTGGAGCTCCTGATTCTACGATCACAGGTATGGTAGATGGACCGGTGGGTGGAGCTCCAGACTCTACGATCACAGGTATGGTAGATGGACCGGTGGGTGGAGCTTCTGACTCTACGATCACAGGTGTGGTAGATGGATCGGTGGGTGGAGCTTCATTTTTCTCAGTTACAGACGTGACCGTGTCATTTCTCTGGTCCTCCGTGCTGTCTTTGCTGCTCTCTGGTGGAGAAGATGAGAATGGTGGTGTAGACATCCTGGTGTGTGAATTGATGATGTCCTTTATGTCTGTGGTCATTGAGGTGGAGCCTTGAAGGCGCCATCTGTGGCTGCTCCCTAGTACTGCACAAACAAAAGCAAAAGTTTATTTATCTGTTTGTTCAACATCAACTCTGACTCTGACTCTGTGGTTCATATCACATATACACACATATATGTGTATATATATATATGTATATATATATATTTATATGTACATATATATTTATATATTTACATGTACATATATATATATAAAACCACAGAGTCAGAGTCACCATCCAGGTTCAAAACAAAATATTTTATAAAAACACACAACTATGAACCCTGAACATTTGACAGATTATTTTTTTACTCAAAATCCTCAGCCTTTCAGTAGAGACACACACACACACACACACACACACACACACATAGAGAGGTGCTGTATGTAACAGTTTCTGTGGAAGTCCACATGCCGATGTGTCCTTGGGCAAAAAAAAAAACTTTGATAATTTACCAGTATTTTCTCTAGGAGTAAAAAACAAACTATACAGTCCATTTACACAGGATATTTAAACTAAAAACAACACAACAGTTATAGACAAATGACAGGTTAACACCGACAAACAAACAAACAAACAAACAAACGAACTTACAGAAGGTGAAGTGAAGCAGAGAGCAGAAGAAGAAAACCTTCGCCGTCATGGTTCAACTTCACTGTGACTCTGATGAGCAGGGAACAGTTTTCAGGGACAGGAAACGACAGCCAGGAGCTACGTCCTGTCAGGCAGCCACTTCCTGTCAGGCATTGTTCAGAGTGATGGTCATGATGAAGGAAAGAGGAGGAAACAGGAGCGAGGAGGAAATGCCAGAGGATAGGTGAAGTAAGGAGGAGATAGGAGGGAGGAGAGAGGAAAGTGGAGACAAGGTTTTTAAGAACAAACTAAAAGAAGAATGAATTCCTATTAAAGGCAAACGACATTAGTTTAGTTTTAGTGTTTTTATTTTTTCTCTAACCAACATAGAATGTTTACAAATATATCAAATTGATACGACAAATATTAAGACCTAACTGAAGAGTTACTAACTTCAACTCTGTTAAAAATATTTTTTTAACCTGTAGGAACAACGAACCGTAGTCAATTTTAAACTGAGAAAACAATATAGGTGTAATTCTCAGTTGTGACCAGGAGATGGAGACAAATGACTTTCAGATAACGAGCGAAATGTTTACGTTTTTATAAAAAAACACAAACAAACAAAAAACTAGATGTTCTGATAAAAGCAAAACAAAACAAAAAACTAGATGTTCTGATAAAAAAACATTTTAATTAACTTATAAGTGGATTAATATAACCCCGCCCCTTTCACAGTGAAGTGCCGTTTAAAAGAGCAGCTAACATGGAAGCTAGGAGACACACATGTTCTCATAATATTTATTCGTTATATGTATTTGAATAAAGGCTAAAGTTCTACCCTGAAACAAAAACCAAACAAACCCCAGCGTCAGGACGCGGCTCTGAATATTTAATAGCTCAGGAAATTCAACTGACAACTCTTATTTAACTTGGTCCGTGGGTTCCAGGACTGACTTTAAGAATGAACGACAGAGGTTTTAATTTTAACGATGAGTCTAAAAATAGAAACAACAGCTCCTGTGAATTTACAGTCACTCTCGGGAGTGAACATTTAAATGTATTATATAAATAATGTGGTTGGAAATGTCACCGTTCATTATGTTAGTAGGCGTCACCATGGGGGGGGGGTGTACTTTGACCCTGCATGGCTCACTCCACCAGAGGGGGCCCTGTAGTAAATTTTTAAAGAGGAAAGAATCGTGGGTAGTCAGACAACCCAGAGTGAGAGAGAGAGAGAGAGAGAGAGAGAGAAAAGGGGAGGGAGGGGGAGTCAAAGTGTTAGAGAATATTGTTATTTTAACTTTTAAATGTTTAGAATGAACTGATGTCAATACAACAGAAACAAACAATGACTTTTATTTATCATTTCATTTAAACCAACCACAAACAGGTGCAGAGGCTGCACTCACCTGCAGGGGGACCCAGGGGTGAGTTTTTGATGCTTGTATGCTCAACCCATGATGACCTTGTTAGCAACAGTCCTGGTACAGAGACCAGAGCTAACGTTAGCTCCAACAGTCCTGGTACAGAGACCAGAGCTAACGTTAGCTCCAACAGTCCTGGTACAAAGACCAGAGCTAACGTTAGCTCCAACAGTCCTGGTACAGAGACCAGAGATTTTGGTTCACGGGCCACATACAGCAGACTAGTACAATCATAACGTAATTAGCTATAAATAACAATCCAAGTCCATGTTTTTCCCCTTTGTTTTCCTGCAAATAAGTACAAATATATTAAAAAATATATATTTAAAGAAATATCATCTGACAAAACATCACCAACTTGAAGTGTTCTTGCAATTTGTCACTTTCGAAATTCATCAAGCGGGCCGCATTGAACCCCCTAATGGGCCGATTTTGGCCTGCGGGTCATATGTTTGACATACCTGCTCTAATAGATAAGAAATATTTTGATATTACAACTTGACATCTTGACCTGCCTCTGGGTCTGAGTGTCTCTGGTCAGTCCACATGTGTGAGAAACAGCCCCCCCCCCCCCCCCCCCCCTCTCAGTACCAGTGTGGTGGGTTTTTACCACTGCTGTGTGTTTATATTTAATCAACTATAATTTGACAAAACATCACGCGACACCAGAGCTAAGCATGTTTTTCCCCCTTTCACGCAGAGAGCGGAGCGGCAGGAACACGCCTGACCTTTAACCCTGACATTCTTTCAGCTGTCACTGATGTGGAAACAGTGTCTTCACCCGCAGAACACAAACACCACAGTACAGAGGTCAAAGGTCACCTGACAAGTACTGTTAGAACAGCTGCCTTAGTGCCTCTCTCTCTCTCTCTCTTGTTTGTTCATTTTTTTCACTTTCGAAATTCATCAAGCGGGCCGCATTGAACCCCCTTTCCTCACGTCTATTTCAATTCTTCCTCTCCCCCCCCCCCGCTCCCTCCTCTTCCTCTCCCTTCATCACCAGGTCCTGTAGTCCTGACACAACGATCCCCGGTCCCCTCCTGTCATCAGAACAAGAACATTCCTCTCCTGCTCGTCTTCCTCAGGTCGACCCACAGTTGCGTGGCAACTGGAGGCAGAGAGTGTCGACAATGCTGCCCACAGAGCTGACATCTTTGTTAGCGCTGAGCGTCTGTGTGTGTCTGTGTGTGTGTGTGTCTGTGTGTGTGTGTGTGGCGGCAGGCGACATGACAACACAGACAAACGGAGGAAACTCGCAGCTTCCTGTCTTCAGGAGCGAGAGAGTCGTTCGACGTCAGGCTGAGAGAATGAACAGGTGTTTACAACAGCACCCTCTAAAGGACAGACCTTTACAGGCATGTCGTCAATTATAATAATAATAATAAAAGTCAAATATATTGACGTTTACAGCAACATTGAGTGTGGGTGAGAAAAAGGTACGGTGTGCTGTCTGAATGACTGATGGGTTCTGATAGAATTTCATGAGACAGTGAGATATGCAGCACAGCTCTCTCCAGTAGCACCCATCAGCCACTCGGACAGCACAGCTTACCTCTCCTCCCTCCCCCTCTTTTTAAAAAAAAACTCTCAATTTCCTTCCACGACAGAATGTTTTGTCCTTATTTAAAAGGTCAGGTATTTTTGATGCTCAACCTGTGGTTCACGGTGACGGAGCCGATGGTTTTATTTAGCTGCAGTGACAGACTGGAAAAAAAAAATCAATGTTCACCAAACCGTAGAGATTCTTTATCAGCTATAAATGTGTCTTGGTGGGACAGAGTTGTCCTGAGGAGGGAGACACGGGGAGGAGAAGAGACCGGACGGGAAGACGCAGAGAAGCTTCTATTCCATTAGGTCCGATCCAGAGCAGATGTCCAGGCTCGGTCAGGGATTGGCTAACAGGAAAATCAGATTCCAATCTTCGCTCTGATTACATTAGAAATTCACTCTGTGCCATGAAAAAAGCTTTCAATTCCTGGGGCGTGTCCCGCGGTGGACAGGACGTCAGGATGAGCGTTTACCAGAACAGTTCCACTGATTTCATTAGAACTGTTTCATCCTCATGAATCACTGAAGGCAGAACCAGACTGAACTCAAACACCTGCTGCTAACAGCTAACATTGAACTTTTATTCTCCTTGAACAGATGATGATAAAGTCTTTAACGTACGTTTTTGTTACCTGTTGTAACCGTCTTTTTTTTTTCAAACTATTTCTGGGTAAAATTATGCTTTCAGCAAGCTAACATTTACATTACATTGTTTGACCAAAATTATGTAATTGCTAATCTTTAGCTATTTCCTGATGAAGTTTTTTTTTTACCTGGCCATTTTGATATTATGGCTAACATTAAACAATTTCTGAGATAACATCTCTGAAATACTAGTTTTCTTTCTACATTTTTAGCTACATTTAAGCTACCTGCTGGTAGACTACGGACGCTGACATTTGACCTTCTGCTCCTGTGTCTCTGCCTCACGGTGTACAGCGGCGGCCGACGACAGGTTGAATTAAAAGCTCTATCGTAGCTTCGTGACTCATAATGACGTAACCGTACGGAACATGAGGTCAGCTGGGTCTGACCCACGGAGAACTGGGCCCAGATCTGAGAGGAACATCAACACCTGACCAGACAGTCACTGCTGCTGCTGCTGCTGCTGCTGCTGCTGCTGCCGTTACTGCTGCTCCGTGCCACCCTCCCTGCTCTCTGTGCTCTTTAATTATTAAAGGCTAATTTAGCAGCTAATGATACAGAGGAGGAAACTGTTGCTGCTGCTCTGTGAGAATCAATAACTTTTAAGCTTGTTCAGTTTTCTGTCATACGCCTGGAAAACAGCAACAAATCACAACAAGGTGGGGGAGGAAGACATGAGGAAGGGCTGATGGAATGACAGACATGAAGGCAGCACCGTGATCTGAACAAGAACAATTACAGGAACAAGAACCAAAAATTATGTTTGTTTCCACTGCAAGGACCAGGAACTAATTGGTTCTTCATGACGACTAAATCTACGTTAGCGTAAGTGAAGACGTAGATGAAAGAAAATGACTTAAAAATATCCTAAATATGTTTTTACCTTTTATATTTTAGTCCCTTTAACTTTATTATTAGGGATATTAACTCTGATGCAGCCGTTTGCCCTCAAAACTGAGGATAACGTTCCCAGGATAACGACCCTACAGGCGATTCCAGCATATTGAGTTATCAGGTTTTAATTATCGGAGGGAAAATAATGATAACGATTCTCACAGATATTACAAAATTATGCTAATATCGGGTCAATAATATCTGTATTTACGACAGTCCAAAAACACGTCGATCTGTCTTTAGGTTCATGTTGACTCTGACCTGTTTTGGTGGGTGAAAAAGTGAAGTTTGAAAGTAAAATTCGTTTGAAAAGAAAATATAAACAAAACCATCGTCTTGTTCTTGACCTCGAAGTTCAACGAATCATTTGGTATAAAATGTTTAAACGTCATGTTTTTTCAGACGGCCAGCAGGTGTTAGTGAAGGGAGGCTCATTAAAACATTTTTATTTCTCATGTCAAGGCGATGAGAGAAACCGCGGAGGTTTGCGGTTGTTATTTAAGCCCTGAAGCTGCTGCCATGAGAACAAAACAAACAAACAAACACCACAGATGGTTTACTCCATCAAAACCCACTGCTGCTCCGGCTCCGCTCGGTTCACGTGAGTTCATGTGTGAGACAAGGATTCTGCTTCACGAGACGACGACAGTCGGCCGTGCAGAACCGAACCCGTCTTTCAGAACCACAGCAGCCGGAGCACAAGAACCGTTCCTTCACCTGGATCTTTAATACTTAACGGACTCACAAATAAAATGAGTGAATCCCCTGAGGAGTCATCGGTACCGATGGGTTCATCAGCACTTTTTAAAATTGCAAGTTGAGATGGTATTTTAAGATCAAGGAACTTTTTTCCCACAGCGTGTATAAATAACACACGTTAGAAAAACAAACAAAATGTCGATGGACTGGGGGAATTATTTTGCCCTTGGGTTAATACGTGTTAAAAAATGTAGTCTGAGTTATTTCACCCGATAATTAATTGAAGTAACACATTCGTGGTTCTATAGCGAGCAGCCTCGGGTTCGAGTCCCAGAGGAACTGCAAACTTGGCGCCTGCCGTTGCTCAGCCTGTTGCGGCAGATCTGCTGTGAACACAATTTCTCCAGTGTGGGAACAAGACAGTTGTGAGGAAATTGATTGTTCAATGGAAAAACTCTCACCTGCCAAGCAGGAGGGCTGGGTTCGATTCCCGGCTAATGCAAGTACTCTGTATTTGGTGCCTCCACTGGCAGCCTGCGTGGGTTTCAAAGACTTGACGTTTGTGGTTCCATAGTGTAGCTGTTATCATGCCTGTTTACACATCTACACATGCAGGAGGTCCTGGGTTCGAGTCCCAATTGAACCACATACCTCGTGCCTCTTGTTGCAGCAGATCTGGATGTCAAACTAATTTAGTGATTTTGTGTGTTTAGCACCCATGCTATAAGCTAAAAGCAATTTAGTGGAGAAGAAATCCTCCTGAATCATTGAGCTCTTCTGGTTGGTTGTGGGTATTTCTATAAGGCACAGTCACCTTCGTCATCATCATCATCATCAGAAGGTTGAACAGAGCACAACCTTCAGTTCAACAGGGTGAACTACGTCCTGTTTCTTCAAAGCCTTTCAGCCAGTGTTCATTGACAAACTCTGACTCAATCCAACTATTTTTCTCTCACATCCTGTCGTCAAACGCCAAGGTCTGCGAACACTCGCACTCTTGTTCTCTCAGACCTTGACTCCTGCCTCCTCTCTTCCCTTCCTTCATCCATGCTTGGCCGTCCTCTCATCCGTCCTCTTCCTTCGTCTTTGTCCTGCAGCAACGACCGGATGAACACGTTCCAGATGAAGAAATCCAGCAGCAGAAATCAGAAGAAGACAGAAATCATCACGATGCTGAAAATCAATCTGTCACTGATGTCGTTCAACAAGTCGACTTCCTGAAAATAATGGAAAAAAAAAAAACAACCCTGATTGGCCCTTTAACCCCAGTCAGAGTTCACAGCAACCGGTGTGGAGGCAGAACAGATGAAGAACTGTTCTCTGAGGGCAGCTGGGCTACACACACACACACACACACACACACACACACACACAGATGTCTCCTCAGAAGACACCCACAGTCTCTCACACATTGGGAATTAACACATAAAACCTACACCCCCCCCCCCACACACACACACACCTGACTGAGCCACTCGCGACCTCAAACAAGCTAGTTTCGAGTTAGCTTAAGGTCGACCAAATGTTAGCCACAGCTATGGGTCGTAGAGTCCCAACATTCGCAGGTAAAACAGAAAAGTAACAACATTTGTTTGTTTGTGACGCACACACAAACACACACACACACAGACACACACAAACACAGCAAAGAAACGATGTTTTAATTTGCCTTCAGGGATTTGAACCACCATCCAGCTGGAGCTGTGGAGCGAAGCGACAACAGCTGATAATGACGAGAGTGTTCTGACTGAACCCAGCTGTCTTCATGTGTCTCTACAGAACTGTGGACTGTGGACTGTGGACTGTGGACTGTGGACTGTGGACTGTGGACCAGATCATGGGCCGAGCTGAAGCAGAGCCAAAAAAAGTCAAAAACTCTGACTATATATTTATGTTGTTCTTGTTGTCGTTGTCGTTGTTGTTGTTGTTGTCGTTGTTGTCGTTGTTGTCGTCGTTGTTGTCGTTGCTGTTGTCATTGTCGTTGACGACAGACCTTTCCTCATAATCAGACCCACAGACAGATCTAGGGAATCCCACAGAGAAGCCTTTATTAGCCTCTCAGCCGAGCTTTAATGTGACATTTATCTGTTCATCGTCACTTCCATCACTAAAGGTCAGAGCAGCAGCAGCAGCAGCAGCAGCAGCAGCAGCAGCAGCAGCAGCAGCAGCAGGAGGAGGAGGAGCGGGGGTAAAGTCGCCCACCCCCTCGT